AGAGCAATTTTTGGTATTTGCTCTTAGGAATTTGGCTTCGGACCCGCTCGTCTCTCTGCCTCGTTATGAAAACAGGTTGCTTCTGTTATCCTTAACATCACTTGAGAAACGTATATTTATTCTTGGTGTTTTCTTCTTAATTAAGTTAATTAATGGTACTATCGATTCATTTCCTTAACCGCTTCGCTAGCCAGTTAATCTTCATTGCGCTTAGTCAATGTAAATGTAATTGTGAGCTGTTTAATCCGTTCAAAGTTGTTTGCAGAAACCTAAACAATGTCTATTCATTCAATGTCGGATTCTGTAAAGTCTATTACAAAAACTATGCTTAATGCGCACGATTTGCCTACGTCGTATTTAAACTAACTTGCAATGTTAATATCTCATCCGAAAATTCTCATAACTCATGTTATTTACTGTTATCGGTTGCCAAGCTTTTACATGTTTTCAATGGCTTAGGAGTTCGCTTGCAGCTTGGATCAGTACTGGTTGTGGATGTGCCGCTGTGCGAGTTGTGCACCTGCTTTTTTTTTTCTTTCTTATTTATTTATACATGAATTATTATTTTTTTTCTTTACTTCTCCTTATATACTTTGTATTAATTAGTATAAGATCTACTACTACTTCTAGGAGTCAATTGATGTGGCTGCTAATTTATTTTAGCTGAGTTTCATGTTTAAATACACAAATAAATAAATATATGAACTAAATTGATAAAAGTGCGATCATTATTGCTGCGACTGTTGGATGTTGATTCTGCTACTACTGTTTTTAGCAATAGGGAATTGTCTATTTATATTGCTACTGTGTTGTGCAGAGTTGCTACAGCTGACGTCGACGCTATCGTTGTTATTACCGTTTTTATACTTGTTTGTAGTTGCTATTGTTATAAACATTTATTTGTTATTATCCTATCCTATGCCATTAATTGTAGAAGATTCTTCTGTTTGAAGAAGCCGTAAAAAAGAATCTACGCAGCCAAACATCCTTCTACATGAAAAGACTGCAAAAATAGATCTATGCAGTCAAGCGTACATGAAAAAACTGCAAAAATAGATTTATGCAGTCAAGCGTACTATAGAAAATTTGAAAATATATCTTAAGGCCTTCTGGGAGTTACACGCGCATCCACAGAAATTTAATACACCTCGTGCCACAATTGATGGAAGATACAAAATGAGATTGCATTGTCCCTCATTTTAATTTTCAAAGAGAATTTATGCTTGAGCTGCACACAGTAAGGTAAAAGTTTATTTTTTTCCTTTGCTTTTGCTGATTATTACCTATTATTTTTACACTGTTTGGTTACGGAGATTTAGATTAAGATTTATTTAATAAACAAGCTGGAATCTGTTAGCCTAATTGCAATAACGTTCAATAAATGTCTGCCTTATTTAAACCTATTCAATAGAGTAACCGTTATGCTTTTACAATTTGAAATTCTTCCCTTCTTAGCTCTTATATGTATTAATGTTTCTAATTTGGGTGCTCTTCTCTGTTTGCCACTAAGAAACAAAGTGAACATATATATGTTACTTGTCTTTGCTCTTTACTATATCACTTTCGTTACTTCTAAATTTATGCCAATAAATGAAATTCAACAACACTGTTGCTGTATATAATTAACCTAAAATCACTCTATATATATGAATTATATTAATAAACTTTACAATCTGCCAAAAGTGGCTAAAAGTCTAATTTACAAATTTTTTTTGTTATTTAAATCACAAATCTCTTAAAACGATTGTTACCGAACATATATAAATTCTTTCTTAAAACTACTTCTTCAAATATTTCGTTTCTTATTATTATGATATTTAATCTTGTACAATGGAGGATGGACATTTATACAAGATTTAACAATTTTAACAAAAGCATTTTATTTTGAAGGCCAGTCTATGAAGGTGACATTTTTATGTGTTAAGGTCGACCTGCCCTTATTATGCCGATAAATGTAAAATGATTTTCGTAGGTTTACATTAGGCGAAATGACGTAGGAAAGTCAATGGTCAGCCTTGCGCGATTACAATGTTTCCATTTATTTTATAATTGGTCTTCTACTAACCCCGCAATAATTCGGAATCTTCGATTTGCTTTTTAAAAAAATTTTATTTCTGCTTATTTTCTAAGTCACCTTATACATGAAAGTGCGAATTAAATGTAAGGAATAAAATGTCTATTCGATTTTTTTTAGAAATTGAAATATCCTAAGCAATAAAAGTGAAATTATCTTAAAAAGGATATTAAAAACTAAGTTTCATTATATCCCAGACATGTTATCTTATCCTGGCATAGGAGGGTTCAGCTTTTTTACGCATGTATCTGTATCTGAAAATAATTGTAACCAAATTTATGTTTAATATTTAAGGACTATCCGTCCATTCTCACCACCAACGTTTGTGGTTGTTCTCTTTTTGAAATAATTTGCTGTTGGGAATGCGGATTAAAACGGCTCCTACGTGGCGCTCGTACAAGGTAGTAACGTATACTTCCTCTTGGTTGTAACTAAGGAAATTGCAATTCTATCAACCATACTCTCCTTCTGTAGATTTATTTAAAGAGCTCATTTCCTTGAGAATATATGCTGTAATGTGTAGGTTGAGCGATAAGTAAACGATGGAGAAAGCGAGGTGATTTGTAGCTCAATTTAGCAGTTAACTGTACAGTTTGTTTTTAACTTGAATAATATTCACCTTTTTCTATTTTTTAAAAGGTTAAAGGGAATAATGTAATGAACATGTATTATAAAATAAATTAGTTTTGTCTATCTAACAGTGTACCTGAAATGTAAAGACCCCGGCGGCTGAAAACTCGTAAACCACAAATTGCATGTGCATATATTTGTGACTTTGTCTATTTATTGTTAGTCGATAATAACAACGCAACGGACAATCACTATATATAATATTCCGTAAGCGGACGTGATTAGTTTATTTAAAGAAAACTCCAATTTTCTTCACAAATTTTATTAATTGCTTTCTAATTGGTTTCTATCGAGCAACTTTAGCTTACCAAACTTTTACATTCTCTAAATTTTTTTTACAAGGTTGTCATCAAACTTAAAATTAAAACCATTAGTAATCCCTATATATTTTTGAAGAATGCGTCACTACATGCCTATCTCTTGAAGCAGGGATTACGTCTGCAAAATTTCCTTTAATATGCTTGCACAATATCTTCTTTTTTTTTTGTCACTTTACTCATAAATTCGTTTATAATTAAATTCTTTCCTTAAAGCGGTTTATCAGAGGCCAAATAAAAGAGCTTGGAAAGTAGAATGCGACAAGCAAGTTAATTTTGCTGGACGTCATGACATGGTAGATTAATTTTTCCTAATAATACCTTTGAACGAGGTAAGAAGAAGAATTTTATCCCATTCTCCTTTTTATGACAATAAATAAGAACATGGGGCGTCAAAGACTTTAATGGTGGCGGATGTTCGAGATTCGGCCTGAGTCGAGTATGACTTTCCTCCTTTTTTTTTTAAATCTATCTAAATTGCTGATTGAAGAACTCGATCAATTCTTTTGAACTCTCGTGTAAGCGCTGAAAGAAAAAAAAAAACACCGTATAGCTTTTTTTAAATTTTTTTTAGTAGACTGGGAAAAGAAACAAATTTGTCTATCACCGCTTACGGGAAAACAAAAAAGAACGACAAAACTTTAATTGAAGAGGAAAAAAGTCCAGAAACGTTCTATTTGGTCTCATAATTTGCAAGGAAAGAATGCTACGGCGGTAACTGTGAAAGAAACAAGGGCCACACCTGGGAGGATTAAAAAAAAAAAAGAAAGCGAAAGGACATATGTTGCTTTGCGCTAAATGCTTCCATAAAGGGGAAGTTGAGTAAATTTTGAATACTCATAGCCCTAATCGGATAAATATATCTTTATTATTTTGTTGAATTTTTGAAAAGGTAGTGAATTTGTTTCTAGCGAGGGGAAAAAACCGTAATAAGTAGTAAATGATCTCGTTAAATCGCACGAATAAATAAAGTTAAAAAGCTAAAGTTAACTCTTTGTGATATTCAATTACGGAATAATAAGGAAGGTAACGGCGTATCCGTGGAACACCACCTTCGATTACATGTATAGAATCCAATGACGGATTCAAAAAATAAAGACTAATATTATACATCATACGAAAGCACCCTAAAAGAGCTCTGAAACTGAACTGGAAACACTTTAAATGAGGTTCTACAAAGAAAAAAGGGTGATAATATTATACCGTTAATTAGCTTAACAATAAGCATCAAGTCGCACGTCCAGCTTTCCTTAGGCAGATCAGTGAGCATCATCCTATTTTTATAAGGTGGAAGCTCCAAATAATAATAAATCCGGCCATGCAAAAAGTAAAAACTATGTTCTACCGATTCGATTAGGTCGGTGTGAGATGTCTAACTTGGTATCCACGCTACAGATGAATGTTCCCAAATTGGTTAGTCAAAAGCAGGGTTGTACAATTCTTTTGAAGATTTCTTAATAAAGGCCAGACGCAATTTGGCTTTATTGACGTGTGATTCAATATGTAAATAGAATGTTAACTTTGATGGCGAAATACCGTTGCCCGACGAAGTTTGTCGGGAAATTTTGAAAGTTGACAATTTTTTCCTTAAGTTTTAAATAGTAAGAACGATTTAGCTCATTAATACATGCAAGCAGTCAGAAACAAACAGAAAATTTCAGGAAATGAATTTAAATCCATGGGCGTAATAAAATGTGTGACCCCTGTTTTTTAATTATTTTAAGACTATAGAATTAAAACATTTGTTGTATATTATTGTTAGTTTAGCACATATATAATTTTTAAGAGGCAATGTTTTTTTTTTTTTAAAACTAAGAAGAAGAAAAACAGTTATCAATTAATTTTTCCATAATTGGTCGTTATTATTTGTTTGTCTTTATTTTTATATTATTTACACATACATTAAATATATACAAAAAATACGTAAGCGAAAACATATATATACAATTTATAAAGTTTTCCTTCCTCTATAATCTTGACGAGAAAGAGAAAATTGAACAATTGGTTTTCTAAAAAAAATTCATTAAGAATAGTTCACCGGGCAAGTTTCTGGTTATAGAGCATAGTTTGGCAGTATTTTGATTAACAGTCAGAGCAGGTAATTTAGTAAATGGTTTTAAGGAAAGACAATTTTTCTTTTTAAAGTTGAACCCTTTCTCAAGATGTTTTAAAGATTTTCAAAATCGCCTTGTCTTTTTTTCATTTATTATCTCATTCTTTGTCATTTGTTTCACATTTTATCACACACTAAAAACTAAAAGTTACATTAAAAAACAAGAGTTTATAATTACATTGTATAAAAGAAAATACATAAGAATAATTAAGATGGAGAAGAATAAAGAGGGAGGAAAGAGAAAGTGGGAATACAAGGGAAAATCATGTTATATATGCGCGGATTCTTATTATGCGTTTTTTCTTCTATGAGCCCAATTCCTTTGCACTAATTTGATGTTTAATAACTTTTAGGGCGGAAGATTTGGCAGCCTTTAGAATTTCTAAAGGGGCATGTATATGCCACTGGTATGCATTGTTTATTGGCGTGTCGCTAAATTTAAAATTATCTACTTCTTTTTATGATGGGAGAGGTAACCGTGGCCACCACCATGACCGCTACCAAAACCGCCACCATAGCCGCCGCCGTAGCCGCCTCCATAGCCGCCACCGTAGCCGCCTCCATAGCCGCCGCCGTAGCCTACCGCAACAGCGGAACCGACATGACTTTCCAAGTGAACAGGTACCGGTACTGGCACCTTATAAGGCACAGGCTTTTCAACGGGTACGGGGACATGTTGCTCAACGTGGACGGGGACTGGGCGTTCTACAGGCACTTTAACCGGATAAGGCACAGGACGCACGACAGGTACTGGGATTTCTTTAACCACAGGATAAGGTTTAGGTACAGGCACTTTAACCGGAACAGCAACTGGGCGGTCAACTGGTACTGGTACCGGATGCTCAACAGGAACATGAACAGGAACCGTGACTTTCTTTTCGACTGTATAAGGTACTGGTTTCTCAACAGGTACTGGCACTGGTTTCTCGACATGCACGGTATAAGGACGATCAACAGGGATTTGTACAGGTACTTGTACAACCTTCTCAACGGGATAAGGTTGTGGCACATGAACGGGTACTTGTACTGGCACCTGAACAACTTTTTCCACTGGGTAGGGTTGTGGTACAGGAACTTTCACAGGTACTTGAACAATTTTTTCTACGGGATAGGGAGCGGGAACTGGTACTTTAACGGGATAAGGACGGTCGACTTTAATTGGTACATGAACATGAACAGTCTTCTCCACTGGATAAGGTTGCGGTATATGCACGGGCACTTTAACTATTTCCTTTACAGGATATGTAACAGTCTTCTCAACTGGATAGGGAGCTGGAACTGGAACTTGAACGGGATAAGTTACAGTGCGTTCCACCGCTACAGGAATGCGACGTTCCACTTGGTAGGGCACTGGAACACTACGTACCACAGTGTTGACTTGGACATTGGTAGGTATAGCCCCGCCGCCGCCACCAAAACCGCCGCCACCAAAACCGCCACCACCTAAACCGCCACCGCCAACTAAAACACCCCCGCCTCCACCGCCGCCATAACCGCCGCCATAACCGCCGCCTCCAACGCCTCCCAACAAGACAACGCCGCCACCTCCGCCGCCACCGCCATGGCCGTAACCACCACCGTAACCTCCACCGTAACCGTGACCAACACCATGAATTATGCCACGTTTCTCCTGTTTCTTTTCGACTGTACTGGCAGCATCGACTTGAGTAGCGGAATCACCTGCCGCTGTTTTCTTGGCATCTTCAGCTCTGGTCAGAACACACAGAGCCAAGAAGCCAACGATTAGCTAGAGAAAGATAATAGAAAAACGAAAGTTTATTACATACATCTGCTCTTAAGACGTTGCAATTAACATATTTCTGCATTTGCATGAATTTTTCAATTTTTCTTGATTTTGTTTGACGCCAATTTTTTTAATTGCATAATTTTGAAGAAAAAAACAGACTGGAGCAAAGTTCCATGTGTAAATAATTAACTTCAATTTTTTAATTTCTCAAAATGGAAAAACATATATTTCCTGCAAACTTACTCCCCCTAAAAGATCAACTAAGCGGCAAAACCATAACTGAATCATATACGTGGTTTTTAGACTACTATAGTAAGGGAATATATACATATATATGTACATTTTTTTTAAACTCAATTAATTGTAAAAAAGTTTTTTTTTGATTTTTTTCTTATGGTTACAGCCAATTTCATTTAAGTGTTATATAATATAAATGAACGATTTAGGAAACCAATAACCTCTTTTTTCCCTCAGAGGTTTCGCTTACTATAACATGATAGCAAACAAACAATAACAAGTTGTATATAACAAATTGCTGGTAAACAATTCAATTATGTGGTTCAAAAGCCGGCAAATATAGTTATTTATGATTCGCTCGATGTAACGTTGAGTATTGTGGTTGTTTATTTTGTTTTATAGTTTAGTTTGTTTGTTGGAGATTTTTATTTTTTAATGTTTTACGTTCATAGGCTTTTAACGAAGTTCAGGGTAATAAATATGTCTCTACTTTGGTGTTATACGGTATACAATATCTAGTTATAAAATAAATTACTCCTGCTGCAGCAACAAAGTGTTAACGTGAACGCTACAGTGAATAATTGGCGGCGGGTAAATGATTCATTTAGAGAAAAGGAATTTATGATTAACTAGGCAGCTTAATGTCTAAATGTTTGAATGCTAGATATATGTATATAAACAAAACAAAAATAAATAAATAAATAGTACAACAGCAATAAGTTGCACATATCAGTTGGTCGCTTAGGACTCATTTTACGAATGCACATTTATGTAACATAATTCAGATCTAGATTTTCATTAGATTGTAAACTATAAACTGTTGTAATCGTAACTCGGTAACAATAGAGGGTGGTTTTATTGTTACATGTTAAGGAGGACATTATCGTATTAGCGCAGGCTTAGCCCTGGAGCACAACAGGCTTCATTTATATTCAAGCCCACCTTCAAGTTAATAAGTCCATCACAATCTCATGTTTTACCGAAGAAATTTTCTTTGTTGCCATTTGGTATTTTTTAACGTGCTACTTCCTAGTATAGGGTTCTGTGTTTTAGCTTGTTATGTTAATCCATAACAAATTTAAATTTTTTTCATCTATATACGACAACGGAAAATCGCAATCCTTGCACTTTTTGATTTAAAAATAGAAAATGTCTTCCTGTTTAGGGTCGCATATGTTTTTCAGCTACTGTGGGCGTAGATTTACGTAGATTTAATCTATCTTCAATAGACTTTAGACAAACGCGCCTATTGGCCCGATTCAATAACCATTATGATATCTTTTACAGGTGACAATTACAATGACAATAAAGAATAGTTGATTATTGCAATGGTAGGCACGACAATAAAATTGAACCACCATTGGTGTATTTTTTTCAGCATCCAGTACTCCAAGTAGTAGTCATAAGATTTAACGTTAAAAAGTCGGTTTATTTGGAGTAATGGAGAAATATTTTTACGTGAAATTTTTATTTAATTGCTTGTTGTTCGATGGTGTAATATTTCTATTATTGCACATTTAACATAATTTGATGTTTTTTCTTTTTTCCAATATCATCAATTATATTATCTAAGCTCTATAAAGTTTTGAAAACATGTATGTGCAGGGGTACGTGTATGTATCATGACTTTAAAATCATAACATCAGTCATGAACTGTTAGTTAAATACATTTTATTTTGCTTTATTTATATAGCTTTTTACTTAAAGAATTCGAAGTAATGCAGACTACGAATCAGCCATACGTTAGCTGCATAATATTATATATAATTTGTAACAAGCGCATTAATAGTATTAAATCGGGTCATAGCTTGATAGTCTTTGTGTGAAAAAACTATTGTTAGGTATACGTTTACAAAACATTTGATTTAGTTGAAGTCTAAAAAAGCTTTTTTTTCGGATCGCAACTCTGGGCGCTTTTGAAAGTCTCACGGTGCACAGCATTGTCTCATCCGACAGCCTATTAGTTTTTCCAATGGCTTATGTTCTGTTCTTTGAAAGCAAGGAAATTTCAATTCCGAGATGGGTTCAAGCTTATTAATGCTGCGAGTATTTTTTCAATAGTTCGTTACTCATCAAAATCTTAAAACTATCGATTAGTAGTTGGTACATTTTTTATCTAGAGTGATTATTGTAGAGATTCTGCCATTTTCTAAGTCCTCGATCTTATTGGGTCACTTATGATTAGCACCAAATGTCAAACGTTTACATTCTTATCCTTATATCCGTCTCGTCTCAACTTATTAAACGGTTAAATTATATAATTCAAATATTTTCGTTAAATATGTTGAAAAAATTAATTGATTGAAGTTTCGTCTATTTGAAGGATTAGTCACATTTGACCACTCGCTGCCTTTTGGAAACAATAAAGATCTGATCTCAATGTTTGTGATATGGAATATACAAGCAATGAATTTGCTTTATACCTATTATCACGAATAAATTTTAGGCTACAAATTTGCTCAGACTACTTGCGATCATGTACCGTTATCCAAATTAACTTAGTAAATGGTTGCAAAGATAATTTCAATTTCTTCTTGTATAATATTTTCATATATATTTGGTTGCTGCAGTTATCAATCGATCTCAGTAAATATTCATATAGATGACTGTTTACTTCGTTTATCGGATACAGATAAAGGCCTACTATGATTAATTATCATTTAAAGCGTTATTCGTCTATTCTTTATTTAATTAGTAAAGTCGTAGGCAAATTTAGAAAAGTACGCATGCAGTCTATAATACTCTGCTTTTTTTATATAATTTGTATATATCCTATTTGCTTACATCATTTCATCAATTAAAATTACGCCACTAACGGAGTACCAACATATGTATAGAACGTTGAATGCAAAGTTATCGTGTTTCTCGTACCATTCAAATGTCTTGGCTGCCCGTTTTTTAATTATGCAAAGCTAGAGTGTCTTTTTCTATTCTGAACTAAACGTCAATGTCCTCCCATTTCACTTTCTCCTTGTTCGGGCCAATCTTAATGCTTAAGCACTATTAAACCTTTTCCCATTCCTTCATTTTAAATATTCTATGAATGCCTTGAAAGACTGATCTATGGCTAATTAAATTTTCGGTAAAAGAATCGTTGATCTGGGCTATTACGTCAATAGCGACTTATCACTAGCCATTTACGTTTAATGTATAATAATAGAATTTATTACAATAAGTCGTTCTCGCGTTGTCTATTTACTTATAACATTCTCTTTTATATTTTATGATATGAACCAAAACTGCAAAATGAACATCAAAACTTTTATTATGATTTCAAATATCCCGCATTAATGCCGTATTGCATCTAGTTCTTAATAACATGTGATTTTCGTCATGTTTCGCTTGCACATTATATTTAGTTCAGTTTAGTGTGAAATGTTAGTAATAATCCTCCGAACCTAAGTAAAGTATGAAAGATATAATATAATAAACATAACATATATGAGAGCATTTTTTAGCATTGAATATCGAAATGGAAAACATATATAGCTGTAAAGAATTCAAGGCAAATGCTGAAGAAAAATTGAATTTATTCTTTAAAGAAATATGGATAAAAGCTCTAAGCGTTAATTTCTAACGACACTTGAAATGTTCTAAGATTTTCTCAAGAATAATCCTTTTGTGTAGGAAATGAAACTTTCAAATGTAAACTCTTAAGCTTTTGTTAATTCCGATTCACGTTTTTAACGCTCAATTAATTTAACTTACTGCTAGCTGACACAATAAATAGAAGATGAGCATGAAATATTAAGAATATTAAGACTTAAGAAGTAATATACTCTTAGAGCATGTTAAAAAATTGTTGCCTTTAGAGGTGTTTTGACGTCCTTTTTATATAATAAAACCAAAAGTTATTAAATATTTATTTGGTATTTTTTCCGGATACAGAAATGCGAACGAAATAAAAAAAAAGAAGATAGTCGAGTTACTAAAGTTCATTTTTAAAATTTCTCAAGAAGGCAATATATGAAAAAAAAAAAAATAAAAAAATAAAAACTAATTGAAAAACACAATTTTTGCAGAAATATTAAAAACATCACTTTAATTGCATTTGGTTCTTTGAAAAAACTTATTTGGGCGGCACAATAATAATATTATTTAAGTTTTTTGCTTAAATCTTTTGCTATTTACTTTATATTTCTCATTTAACGAGTTTGTTGTTTTTAAAGTTTTATTTGGCTTTTAAGTTTGAAATTTCAAATTTTTCAACATACCATTGGTTTCATTTTGGCTTTATTTTTTACTTCGGGAGGGAAAAGAAAAACGGAGGCACACAACCACACACACAAATGCACTTAGGTATTAAAAATTTATAGAAAAACACCCAGAAAACGTGAATGTGTTCCTGAAGAGGGTTGCTTTTTCTACAAACCCACAACTGTAACTGAATAATTTCGGCCAATGCAGCTCAGCTTTATATACGTGTGCTCAAAATTATGGCAAAAAAGATTTAAAAGCCGTCAATGAGATGCTTTAAAATTTACCAGAAGAGTCGAGGACCGCCACCACTATCATACGAGCGAGTTCGCAATTAAAATTGGTTTTTTTTTATTTTTTTTTAACATATATGCAATCATTGGAAACGACTGTTACAGTTTCCGAAACTATAAGATGTTTATGAGAGGATTTCTTGAAAGAGTAGAAACCCAAAAGCTTTCGATTTTATATGTAACTTAGTGAGGTTGAAGAGTTGTCCGTGAGAGTTTAATAAATCAAAAAAGCTTTTTCAATATACGTATACAGAAGTTGCACATATAGTATCGGTGAATAAATGTGTTTCGTGTAAACAAAACGGTGTGTCTCATTTCCTTATAGTATTAGTTTATTTCTTAGATTTGTTGTCTAGTCCCGGAAATTTTTGGTTATCATTCAATTCGCATTTATTTCTTTGTTTTCAACTTCATTTAAGATTAATTTTTTTTCTTAAATATGGAACGCATTAAAATTGCTACAAAAGAAACAAAAATAAGTAAACAAATACGCTTACAATCTAAAAATGTAATATTATAATTAAGCCTAAATCTATATAAACGAAGCATGCATATAGGTTGTAATCAATCAATTTAGCTCACATTTAGTTGTCGGGTCTAATAAATAATTAAAAGAAGTGTTTCCTTATGCGAAAGTTTTTAGTTTAATATATAGAAAACTACTTAAGTTTCAGGAAAAAAAAACGTGAAAATATCGTAATTTTTAACAAGCAAAGGAATAAGAGCAAACATAACTGTAATCAATAGCCAATGAATTAATTTTTGCATATATATTTATTCGATTGTCACGATTGTCTCAGTTACCTATTGGGATTTTCTTCGCTTAAGTTGCAAAGATGATACGTTGAATACGTGCAGGCTATGTTACATGGCGCCAACTTTAAAGCATACGTTGCCATTGGTGTTGCCGAGGTTGCTTTTCGTGATGATGGTGATGATAATTATAAGTTGGCTGTGCTCTTCACTGCAGTAGCTTATTGTTTCAATGATTAGCACGTGACTTGTTGTTATTTCTTAGCTGTTGCCCCTGGTTGTACGTGTTACTCAATACTACTTAATATAAATTTCTGGAGGTATTATTAATATCATTATGTGATAATGCGGTGCAAAAACGTTAGCTATGAAATTAATTGCCACTTATGGCGAAATGAATGCTTTCCTATTTATTTTCACTTCACTATGCAGATTAGTACATTATATGTATTCGTAACAGTTTGAAAACCAAATATTACAAAACTGTTAAAAATGCTTCTTTTTTATATTATATAAAGAAAAAAAAAAAACAAATAAATAACAACAACGAAAGCAGTACCTCAACTTTTGGGTACCCAACACGCTAAGAAAACATATATAAACTAAGAAGACTATTTGGCGGAGGTACACCTCAAACAATTTAAACACCTCAGCTACATATATCACGATTGCAAAAGTGTTAATGAATGGTTTTGAGAACGCTCGCCCTCCCTGGACGCATCTAGTGAATGTTCTTTGGAATGTTTTTTGTTAGAGACTATGGGGGAGAGTATGTTGGATTTTTTTTTAATCATAATAGACAGGAGGGATAGACAGGGGAGTAGAAACGGCAAAGCCGATGAGATAATTGATGACGAACTGATAGGCAGGTAAATAGGTGGGCAACTAGACTGGTGAACAGACGGTCAGAGTGATGCGCAGAAATGTCGATGGATTCGCAGAGAGATGGCTGGTAGATAAACGGACAGAAGGAAAGACAGACGATCTAATATTTGCTAATAATGACATCGATTCCAAGGTTTGACGAACTTTTTGATTCTTAATTTATTTTTCTCCTGTTTTCAATGTTTTCATATTTTCGGTGGCATATCGAGTAGAAATGATATGGAAAACTTTCCGAACGCGTGCTTCCAACGAAAAGTTAGAACCTTAGAAAGGAATATAAGACAATAAAGATACAATATTATTATGTAACAGTCGATAAACATTTTGGATATTTTTACCTTTTTCAATTTTTGTATCTTTAGTAGTCGCAGTGGTGGAACTAACTTTCTGTTTCAAGCTTTTCTTTTTTTATACTGTGGGGGAAAAATAGCTTATTTAAAGGTGTGCCCCGTAAAAACACACACTTATAAGCACACGCTCTATTTTTATTGATATTACATAATCGCATTGCATATATTCAGCTATAGCGAAAAAATTTTGGTATCTTATCCGTTCACTCTTTTTAAAGAGCCAGAAAACCAGAAAAAAGTCTATACATAATAAATGAAAGAAAAAGAAGAAAAAGCACATATTTTTAAACAATACAATCAATAGAAAAAATATTTTTTTAATTAATTGTTAAAGAGTTTTAAACCGAACAAACCAAACCAGTCATTAGATGTTTCTATAAGATAATATTCCGCAAGTGAACAGACTGGTCGCAACCAAATTTATGCATTTAATTATATTATGTTAAATATATTAATGCAAAGGTTCTAAGCTCTTAATTGTCAGCAATTTAGATGTTAACGAAGATGCTAAAATCATTTTCTTTTTTTTTTCCAAATAAAAACAGGTTACGAAAACTTTCTAATATTTCAGTTGCTATACCCGATTATCTCAGTTATTATTTTCAGAGTTTATAATACGTTTGTTATCATAGGCCGGGGCTACAATAAACTGTGCGATGTTAGAACGCTATACAAATCATAAATTTGTGCATATTCGAAAAGTTTGCCTTTACGATTTATGAACATGCACGACTATTCCAAAGACGCAAATGTGATCGGAGTGGAAATGGAAAGAATATACAATGAAAATTTGTTTTGTTACCGGCGTCCTTCTTGTTTTCACACTATAAGGGACCAATTTGAAATATCGAAGTAAAGAGTTTAAATTTTTTGACTTGACTAATGCAACTTCTAAGAATTTAAAACGCAAGCGACGACTGACAGACCACTGGAAGCGCACCATCTTATCTTTATCTACCGTGTGCACATTTCCAAGAACTATCTCAGATTGTGTGTAGTCACTAAATATGTACGTATGTATGGCACCCCAAGAAGGACTTGAGGTAGACCCACTTTTCATTATACCGATTGATTCAGAATCATTTTCTGAATAAACTTGTCTGCCAGTCTATTTTGGTTCAACCCACAGACCCCAATTTTCGAGATCATTTGATGAAGTTTGATGAATTGACATATTTTGGTTCAGGGATCAACATTATTAAAAATGGTTTGGAACGGACCATTTTTTTGTCTTACTTTGAATAGTTGTTGTAAGAGCGGCTGTAAGGTTGTGCAGGATGTGGTAAGCAACAACTCAGTATAGGGTTTCTACTACTATCTCTTTAGTTGTTGGTAGAATAATAAATAATAAACCTTTTAAATAACAATTATTGCAAGCAAATGCATGAAAATCTCACAGAACATTGGCGTCCAATTAGGAATAATTTTATGTAATTTTATGTATGAAAAATGATTGCGCCACCCTTCAAGCAACTATAGAAATAGTTAAATATTGAGAATATTGAAAATTGAGGATTGTTCGTTTGTTTTTGGTTTTCAGCTTTTAGGGGAGTGGGCAACCATTGTCTAATATAATGTATAAAATTCTTTGTCTTAATTATACGAATTTAAAGAAAGTCAGCTGAAAACAGACAGAATTTTGTGGCAAGGGTTTAACGTGGGTTCCTGCCTGAAAGGCTTAACCCCACGGTGGCCCAAGCCACTTTTAAGCGTACTACGCCCCCTGGCGAGTTAGACAATCCCCACAGAGTAGGGGCCTAAACAGCACCAGAGTCTAGATCAGTTTATTGTGTATGGAACAATAAACCTCACTCTGGTGAATGGCGAGGCCTAGCTGCACTCAATTGTTCCATTTTAGCTAGGAACTCGCCAACCACAACCACCACGAGTACTCCCCGAAGGGCCGCACCCAAGCAGTCAGGACTCACAGATTGATCAACTGACTGCTTCCGCCATAAGGCTTCCACTGTGCTGTTGATCAATTACCACCATTACCCGCAGGCATCCGTGACATGTGTTCAAAAGTAAAAATAGGTAAAAGGGGAAAACTTATTCGTCATATCCCTTTTCCATTTTTGCGTGTATTAATTAATTTACCAGACATTTTCTATCAATCGGCCAAAGGGAAGGCCGTCCGTCAATTCCTTTTTGCATTAATAGTATAATTAATTTATTTATTACGACTTAAGGACAAAGTCCATCATATACCCGCAGGCATACGTGGCTTTGTGAGGCGAGCTTCCTGACCCCCGTGGCTCCCAGTTTGTTTTGCAAAGCCTTATGGCATACTTTGGGCGGTTGTTAAAAACAACCGTACTTGCTTCGGATTCTCCATACTTTCCTGGTTGCCAGCCCCAAGTGAACTACTTTTCTTCAAGATATATAGGTCTTGGGTATTGCACTGAACATGGTAGACTAGTCTAATGCACTCTACCATGCACTCGCTAGATTACTACCTTCATTGTACTTAAATACCATTCAATATATTTCCTCGGTAGTAACTAGCTTATTGAGTAAGAGCTCTTCTTCCAGCCAACCCCTCCACCATCTCTCAGAAACTCGTCGCCGAGTTAGCAGCCCAAAACCTTAAACTCTTCTTAGCCGGCCGAAGCCGTTGCCCGGGGATCACCGCTGGGAGGTGAGAGTTTCGGCACATCTATGCTTCTCATCAAAGCATAGTTCATCTCCCCGCTGAAAACAGGCAGAATTTGTGGCAAGGGTTTAACGTGGGTTCCTGCCTGGAAGGCTTAACCCCACGGTGGCCCAAGCCA